CGGGACTAGAACCCGCACAGTAGTGTAACGGATAAAGCACACATCCCGGAAAGAGTGAGGTGCGGGTGCTAGTCCCACCTGATGCGAGCGTTTTGCACGTCACTCTACATCAATGGGTATTTATGCAACTTAGTGTCTAGTAGATCAAATGAAGTGTGGTGGATAAAGTAAAGGCTTACCGAGGTTCCAGGAGACGGATGAGACAGATACGATGCCAGAAGCGGCAGAAATGGCCGCAACTCGTCGTCTGTGAACTTGTCACCAACTTCCAACAGCGATCCGTCGACGATCGCACAGTAAACACCGGCATGTTGCTCCCATTTCAGCATCATTGAGTTCTGAAATTATCCAATTATTAAAGACAATCCAATGCATGTAAAAATTGGAGAACGATCTATTACTGATAGGGAAACTGAGGCGCAAGAGCTCGAGAAACTCAAGGGATTGCGACATAGAGTGGCTGGACATTAACCCTCTGAGGACCACCGTTGATAGGCAGGCGGCGTCGTGCCGTCGCTTGCGCGACAATCGCAGGCAGGCAGACATCATCTACACGTCTGTGCAGAGATGTCTGGCTGTCTGCGCCTGCTTCCTCACGAGACGGTACTCCGCCAGTACAGTAGTTGAGTGATATTTGACGTCGTGCGGTTACCACATGGTCTTTGAAGGGTTAATGGACTTGTGTACGCAATGTAAGGGCGGGGTTACGCAGTGGTTAACGATGCAGTGTGTGAGGTGTAAGCAGTGCACTGGTCCAATTCCCTTGCTTAGTCATCAAACAACCATCATAAACCTAAGAATGCTGAGTGATATGCAAAATTCTGAGCCTCAATCGGTGGATTCAAAACGCTAGTAGCAGATCGATGGATGGCCTCGGTGCTGCAGTGGAGGTAGATGCCACTGGTATGAGTAGAATGCTGGTTCAACTCCCTCTTAGGATTCGAAGTTACCCGTGTAACTCAGTATCCTTAGATATATTTTGATTGGTACTATTTGGTTATGAGGGTACAAATGGAAAATCGATCTCATTCGTTGGAGAGGACGTTTTCATAGTAGTGTCAGTAGCCATTCGAAAGCTGAGACTTCAGGCTTTAGCTCCACGGAGCCGGCTCTTCATAAACCCTTTTCTGACGCTGCTACAGGAAGAGATTTCTTGCGTTGCAGATGCGCATCATTCTCAGCGGACACAGCTCTTTCTTCGGACTATCAGCAATCATCAGACAGCGTAATCCTTTCTTATTCCAACGCTGTGTTTATATCCCGAAAAGGCCCTGTCTCTGTAGCGCAGCAGGTAAGATAAGCTAGATTCCATCTGTGACCAAGTGGACCTTGGCCAATTCACGTTCGGCTGGCTGAGTGGCGCGATGATCGGTAGACCTTACACCGGCTCAGGAAACGCCTTGGCTCGGCTACCTCCACGACTGCAAGGAGATGCGACTGGACGGATCAGTACGTCCACGACATTCTCAAAGGAGGTGAGGTCCTCGAGCAAGAGTCACAGCAAAACGGGAAGTGTTCGAAGAGCTTTGAGGCTGGATACTTGCCTGGATACTTGGACGATCCGTCTTCACGACTAGTGCGAGCCTCAGGGGAAAGAATCTATGCCGTTTTAGCTGTTATGTTCCTTGGAGTCGCGAGATAAGCCTAGCCGGGGCTGCTCCCTTTGGTGGCCACCACGTTAGAGCAGTCCCCGGGCCCTGTGGCTCAGAGGGCTATTACCACCTTGCTATGAGCAGACACCAAAACGGCGGTCATTCCCGCACGGTTAGCCCTTTAGAACCATGGACCCAGCCCTCTACGTCTCTAACCCCCGAGTGTTGCGTCAAACAATGGCACCCTGAGGTTAGAAGCCACTGTTAGGTGCACACGTTGTAGACTAGAGACGCAGCGGGTTGGGTCCATGGAGCCAAAGGGGTTAAATCTTGGTTGGGCTTTCCTAGTGGACACGTCAGACTCCTTCCTAGCTTGGGGAAGGGGCCTTGCTGAGGATTCGAATCTACCACTCTCTGTACTGCGCAGTCTGACATCCAGGAACAGGATAGTGCGGACCTCAGAAGGAGGAAACTATGTACTTCTAACTGTTATGTTCCTTGGAGTCGCGAGTAAGCCCAGCCGGAGCTTCCTCAGGTAGTCATCACATTAAGATAGTCGCCGGCCTTTAATCAGAGGGCGATTACCCCTCACGACTAATTGCTACCAAAACTGCTGTCAATCCTAGCACGGCTGACCCTTTCGGGATCATGAACCCAACCCTCTCCGTCTTTATCCCCCAGCGTGCTGCGTCTAACAATGGCACGCTGAGGTTAGACGCCATTGTTAGGTGCACACGTTGGGGACTAGAGACGCAGCGGGTTGGGTCCATGGTTCCAAAGGGATTGATTTTCAGTTGGGCTTTCCGAGTAGAATCATCGGACTCCTTCTAAGCTTGGGTGGTCCTGCTGGAGGGTTGACCCCGCTGTAATGGCAGTCAGACCCCAGGAGCACATCTCAGCCACGACGAGGGGTTAAACCATTTGCAAGCTTCTGGTGATTGAGGGCGAGGAATCTGATTAAAAGCAAGAAGTGCTGAGATCCGCAGAGTGAATTAGAACAACGACGAGTTCTCTAGACGAATTGGAATAGGAATAAAGAACTGTTACAGTTCGAAAAGGGATATACGAGCTATTCTACAGGGTGGTATCTCCTTTCAAAAAGCGTCGAATTCAAATTTACGAGAAGTGTTGTCGCGCTCCGATTCCAAAATCTGCCCCAACTCTAAGATTTTCCACTTATGCAGCTATTTTTGAATACTTTGTAGAGCCTTCCTCTTTCAGCTCCGTGGGAGTTTCTTCCTCTTTATTTATTTGAAAATCGAATTTTCTATAACATAGTGTAAAGTCTTTTATCATTAAATGGTCCTTAAGAATTTCTTATTCGTTTTTTCTTCTCTTTTTTCTCCATTGTATCTTTATCTCTTACTATGTTAGGTTGGCAAGAGATTCTCCGGAGTTTTTCGTTTCTTTTCTTCCTGTATCTGAGTTTTTCCTTTTACTATCGTTTAGAGCATGAGCGCATGTGGCGCAGTGGTTAGAGGTGCTTTACGTCGCATACAAGGTCAGTGGTTCGATCTCGCACTCGTGGCTCACCAAGCCATCCATCCCTCCGGGGTCGGTAAATTGCTACCAGACTGGTCTCAGACTTGTCTGGGAGGATAAGCAGCACTGACTCGGTTTAGCGGGAGGCCACCGCGAGTCACTGTAAAGGCCAGATATGCATTCAATTACCTCAGACGATGTAGAAAATTGAAGACGAATGCATGGCGCATCCCTTGAGGATTGATCACGCCGAGAGCTTATCTTTTATTTCTAGCTTTCTCGTTCAGAGCGGCTTCTTGCGGTTATTTCGATATATAACACTTATATATCTGTCTTAAATGGTATTCGAGAACAAGAAACGGTTCGTAGTGCAACACGAGTATCGTTGCGTACAAAAGCAGCTGTTGAATTGAGACGATACTCGTCTAGCGTTAACAATCGTTTTTGCTCTAGGAACAACCCATCTTAAGACAAATCCATAAGTTTTATCTTTAGTTTCGAGTGTTTTCTGAAGACTACAGCTCAAATTTCAATATGCCTGGTGATTATTTTTGAGCCACGCATGTCAGTGGTCCATAAAAGAGGGCTGACTTATAGAGATTGGGCTCTATAAGTCAGCCCTCTTTGATAGACCACTGACATGCGTAGCTCAAAAATAATTACCAGGCATAAGTGTTATCTATCAGAATAACCTCAAGGCGATGCTCTAAACGATAGTAAAAGGAAAAACTCAAATACATGAAAATAATCAACAAAAGCGAAAAACTCGGGAGAATTTCTTGCCACCCCAAAGCTATGTCGCCTTTATATTTTTTTGTTATCTTTTTAATCAGTCACTTTTTCTTTTTAATCAACCAGTAGTACGAAGTTTATGAAAATAAGTCGAATCCGCTGATGTTTCGACGTGTTCGCCTTCTTCAAAGACGATCATGAGAGTCACGACCACAGTCGTTTCTTTTTGTCAAATTCACCTAGCAACTCTGAACGGTCTGCTCCACCTCTGCATTTCTAACTCACAACGTGCTGAGTCTAACCGTGGCAGGCTGTTGTATCTATCAGTGGCTCGCTGTGGGTTAGAGATGTAGAGGAGGTGTGGCAGACCGTCCATAGTTGCTGGTTTGCAGGGGCTGTGGGGGTGCATGGTCTCAAAAGGGTTAACTATATCCAAAAGGAATTTTCAACTGTATATCAAGGTGCTCTCAGTAGATCTACATAGAATGCAGGTGGTAGACGATTTCTGCTGTTTAGTGAATGTCACCAAAAAGCAGCCACACATAGTTCAGTTGTTCCGGAAATTGTAAATTTAAATGGTACTGTCTCGTCGGGACTTAATAATAGGTTTCTCTGCTTAGATATGAAGAAGATGAAGACGTCGTAAAAAGGCATCTACGTATCCACCAGTACAAACCGGTGTGTAGTGATCTATTTTGTGTCTAGGTCACTTCCATTCGCTGAGGGTGAATGTGTTTTACTAGCGATCGAAGTTGCCTTAGAGTCATCCCATCTAACCCTTTCGGGACCACTGTTATATCTAACAATTGAGCATATTGCGTCTAACAATATCCAGCCCGCGGCACGCTGGGGGTTAGGGACGCAGAGGGTTAGGTCCACGGTTCTAAAAGGGTTAAAAGCGATTCAACTTTTATTTTACCTCTAGTAGCAATGATGTTATATTATACCTTACAAACCAAGAATGTCAAGTGATAATTGAAACTTCGTACCTCGGCGGGAGTTGAACCAGCGTCTTGACTTCAGGGATACAAGCTAACCACAGTATTACCAGAGTTGAAGAAGAACTATGTACCACATATATGTATCCCGTAGTTGTCAGTCTAAGTATGTTCAATGCCGGCATACGATTTCTAGACCAACTTGTTAAAGAGTGATGACAGCTCTGAAACCTCGTGTCGTAGAAGAAGTGATAGCGGGACAGGAGTTCTAATAGTGTAGAGGTTAGCACGTGCTCTTGGAAAGGATAAGACGCGGGTTCAGCTCCCGCCTGAGATCCAAAATTTGCACATCAAGCAAAATTCCCGAAGAAAAGAGGGTTAGGGTTGGTGACATTGGTCCAACTCGTAGATATGCGCTGAAAGATTCGTAGGTATTACGTCTTACTTTGTCATAACTTATCCAAATTCCTTATTTCAGTTATTCAATAGCAGTCTGGAACCTTTATTTCTATAATGGTAGAAACGTATCTCACATTTGAGCCATCGTTTTGGGAACTGCAAGATAATACACTGTTTTGAAGCAAGTGATCGAGTCTATCTACTCGGCAAGCAGTTCAACAAAGAGGCAGGTACTCGACTTCGTATCTGTTTTCTGTTTCACATTGCCTTTCGTTCACAATTCTCCTAGAGTTAGAGCCATGAAGTAAGGTGACTGTTTGAGTTTTGAAAGCTATACATGTTTCTTTAGTCCTAAAATATCTAGAATAACACCATTTCGAGATTGTCGATGAGAAAATGATGCGCAACCGAGGGCACTTGATTCCTCCTTTCTTTATTAGCCTGTATTTTCAGAAATTCCAGGATAATGATGCAAATATCCTGACTAAATGAGAGACCCATAGTTGCGTTGAACCCCAGTTTTTGAGCAGGCTGAGGAGTACAACCACCCAGAAATGCTGAATTTTCAGCAGAAATTGGAAGCTCAGGTGGGCTCCGCGCCCGTGATTGCCCTGGGGAGGGGGAGGGGGCTTGGTAATTGCCACAGTGGTACAGCAACCACCCACCTTTCAATAGAATGATCTGGCAAGCCACAAATGGGTATTTCACCCTGTTAGGTTGAAGTTTCAGTTGAAATCACATTAATTCTGACTTTTTATTCACTTTTACAGGCGTTTCATAGGTGTTGGCAGTATAGCAATAAACAATAAATTTATTATCTAGAAATGATTGAAATTGCATGGTTTTGGTACCGTTCAATTGCGCATTTTCTTGCGGACAATTTGGTATACATCTTGCCTATATTTACTTGAGATGGAGCTGTTGTGGGGACAAATTCGCTTGCTACTTATGCACGAATGGCGCGCAGGGGAAAATGCTAGTGAAGAGGTGAGCAAGATTAATGGAGCTGGGGGCTACGATACGGTTTTGGAAAGGACAGCTAAGAGGTGGTTTTCGAGGGTCAAAGCCAGCGACTACACTCTGGAGGATCAGTCGCGCTCCAGCCGTCCTTAGAGAGCGTCATAATCTTGCGCGACGCTTCACTACCATTTTCACTTATGCTCCAATCGTGCATGAGTAACAGTTAAATTTATTCCGACTACAGCTCCATCGCAGAGCAACTATAGGCAAGATGTACACCAAAATGTTTGCAAGAATATGCGCATTTGAACGAGATCAAAATCATACCATTTTAACTAGTTGTGGTTAACAAATTGATGTTTATTGCCCTGGTGCCGAAACTCATGGAACGATCTGATGTTTATCTGCTTACTGCCTGTTTTATGGTAAGTTGTGATGCGTTGAGATCCTTACATTGTGTTATTTATGTCGGAATATGTGATAACATAATTGATGCTAGGGTTTTGCTGATAGCACTAACACAGTAAAGAGATAACTGAGAGAAAGGTGACGGAGAGAACTTGGTTGCTGTGGTGGCCACCACATGAGCCGTGGAAAAGGTATCTGCGATCTCGAGCCCACCTGAGATCCTTAGTTCTGCTATTCAGCATTCTTCTGGATATGTTTCAGCTATATAGTGTGATTAGCCAGTGAATAAAATGTTAGAACACTCTGAAGGTGGTGCTCTTGATCGGAATGGGGAATCTTTCCTGATATGGGTGCGCTCTCGGCTTCACGATGTCCTTCCAGCAAACTCGCCCATTGATACGAATACTTTAGCCGCTAAGGGTTATACGGTTGAAGTCACTCGCTTCGATGAAAGCTAGCAAAAAGTTAGATTGGTAATGGATTAAAGGGTCTCGCGTTTTTTTTTTTTAGTGATTTCCAACATTATTTAGCGCTTTCACTTAAGGGAAAGCTAACTAGGAATATAATGTGCTCTAGAAAGGGTAATTTATTTAGAATAGAATGTCTTTTCTGCCTTAGTTATATAGGCTTCAATAGTCTATTTATTTGTCTAGGCCTCGATCCAGTGAGGAAATATGTAATGTCCAGGCTTTGGTTCACTTATAGGAAGGATTTTGCACCGATCGGTTGGTTTTAGCCGTGGATTTGCTATTAGTAATAGTCTTCAGGAATATTACCCTAGTAAAGACCTCAATTGTCAGGTGGTACAGGACCTGAAACAGATCAAGGTTGGGGATGTATGCTACGGTGTGCACAGATGTTGCTAGGTGAAGTTCTTTTACGCCGGCATATTGGACGAGACTTCGAGTGGTCCGAAAGAGCGGAACCTACAGGCGATTACGAGAGGGTTTTACGAATGTTTCTTGATGAAAAGACTGCTTTGTACTCAATACATCAGATCGGTGGGTCATAAGATTCTCCTGAGTATTCTACAGCGTACCCAGTGATTTGGAGTGGTGTGCGGAACTCTCGCTTCGGGCGGGACTCGAACCCGCATCTCGCTCTATCCGGGAGCGCGTGCTCTAGTCCTTGCACTACTAGGATTAGTAATGGATAAAACGGACGTCAGTAGTGCAACGGGTTAGAGCACGCGTTCCCGGATAGAGTGAGATACAAATTCGGGTCCCACCTCACGCCAAAGTTTTGCACATCACTCTACATCATTGGGTATATCTATAACATCATACCACCGCTAAAAACGCTTAAAGAAGCACAGTTCTATTCTACAATGGTTCTTCCATTCATCCTCTTTTAGCAGTGGTATGATGTTACAACTATCTGATAATGTTGAGTAATGTAGTGATGTGGAAACTTGGAACCTCGGATGGGAGTCGAAGCATCTCACCCTTTCCGAGGGCGCGTGCTGACTTATCACATCATTGGGGCTCCTGTTGTGCCTGCCATCAGTGACTTTCTGAATAGTTCTCCACGTAACTGGGTTCAGTGCCGATGCGTGCTTATCAGCTAAACCAGACTAAACCGTTGACTGTTGGTTGCTGATAGGTGGGTGCCTTGTATCCTAGAAAGAATGGTAGCGGAAAAAACAGCCTTGATAGTGCAGTGGATTACCACGCGCCTTCAGAAAGAGTGAGATGCGTGTTCGTACCCGTTCGAAGTTCAACTTCTGCTTATCACTCTTCTTAATGAGTCATGTATTTTTCTATACTAGGTCTTATTTCAGCACAAATGGGGGTTTCTGAAGGAAAGTCTGTTGGTGAGTGGTTTGGGCCAAATACGGCAGCTCAGGTACTAATCCGTTTAATAGCGTTTCAATTGGATTAGTTTTCTCATCAGTGAACCAAGTCATTATTGAGGTCATAAAGAAACTTGCCGTTTTCGATTCGTGGTCTGGAATAGCGGTTCATGTGGCTCTCGATAATATACTGGTTACAAGTGATGTTCAGACCATTGCCACTTTAGCACCACCGAAGGATGCCATCAAGTTGATTATGGGTATAAATTAATTATTCTGGATTTCGTTTACTGATCCTGTATCTTGATGTACTCCATCATAATTCCTTTGTTAGATGATAACAGAAATGTTGACGAATCATATCTGGCGCTCATGAGTGATACTTCTGCATCTGATGATCGTCACTGCGAATGGCGCCCTCTGCTCTTGCTAGTTCCTCTGAGACTTGGGTTGACGAGCATCAATCGATGTTATTTACCGGCTATCGAGGTAGGATGTCCTTTTTCAAGATCTGCATTAAAATGGTGAAGGAATTTTATTGCTTTTCTTACTGATACTTCATAAGTGAATAGTGTGGAGTGTTTTGAATTCTCAGGAATTTTCTTGGAGTGCCCTTTTTCCTTCATATGAAACTTGTGGGCTTTTTTGAGAGCCTAGACGTATTATGTCGTACTGTATCTAATTATTTGGCTGATTTTTTTACTTTACTATGCGTCTTCAGTGTTTTTTTCCACTGTATGGATCCAAATGCTTCTAGCATTCTGTCGTTTTTTCGTGTTCTTCCTTAGTATCTCAGAATACTGTTGAGCGTGTCTTCTTGCAATCTCAAGGATAGTCTGGCTGTCGTGTTCCAATATGCGTTCGTTGTTGACTGCCGCAGAGTGCTGGGGTGGGGTTCGGCTCCAGGCGCTCCGTGACGAGCATCACAACCACTGGGCCACGGTGCCCCCTGTTCGGTTAATTTAGTCAGGATATTCATCGTCTATATCCATTGGAACAGCTGGCGGAGTGGCTAGTGATGCTCGTCGAGGTTCCTCAAGGAGTTCATTTCCCAACTTCAACACTCTTCGGCAATCATCAACAAATGCCCTATAAAGCGCTGAGCCTGGCTATCTTTGAGATTGTAGGCAGACGTGTTTGACTAGTATCACATTCTTTATTTCGTTAAGAAGATGAAATCTTCAACCAAGCGAGACGAACGAAAGCTTAAAGTATTGGGACCCGCACGGTAAAGAAAAAACTGTGTTACAGATCAAATAAGGTGATGAAATTGAAGGTATATCCACTACTCATGTCTATTTATCATCAAGTTATTCTGTTATCGAGTATTCACCGAATATGATATGACATATGTGACATGATATAATACGTGTAGGCTCTGAGGAAAGCGAAGTCGCCCAAACGCTAGTCATCGTTCCGAAGAAAATATGCCAACCCCTCATAAGTTTTTTATGGGCAGTTTGTAAGATAATCTCCATCCTTCATGCCGAGATTTGGTGAAAGTCTATCATTTGATTCTTTTAGGAGTTCTTCAAACTCGACTCCTGCGTTGGTATAATCGGTGGCAGGCCGAACCATGCGCTCTATTTCATTGGTATCGCTGGTGACAAAGTAAATAATTGTAATTCAGTGTTTTTTCTCTATAACGTGGCAATTTATAAGATTATGGTTGGTCTCAGAGGTAATAATTGCAGCTTATATATCTCGATCCTCATTACTGTCGTCCCTCAGTACATAAAAAATGTGGCGGTTCGGGATGTATAGAAGATGGCTTTGATTC